GACCACTCTTCATCGGATCTACGGCAAGTTTCTGGGCCTGCGCGCTTACATTAGAAAACAGATTAACAACATATTTTATAGGTGAGTGTTTTTTTTTTCGTTTTTTTTTGATAAATCAGTGACATATGATGAAATATTTTCATTCAACAATTAACACCATGTCTGTTTTTCCAGGTTTATTTACGAGACTGAACATCATAATGGAATAGCAGAATTACTGGAAATTTTAGGCAGGTGAGACAAAGATGCTGTTTTTGGTACATTTTTATGATCAGTCACAGCAATTACATGCTGCGGGTGTGTTCAATATTTAATGTTGATGCCAACCACAGCTGCATTCAGGCCGTACGCCCCCTACTGACCACCTTTCTCCTTGCAGCATAATCAATGGATTTGCCTTACCATTAAAGGAAGAGCACAAGATATTCCTACTGAAGGTTTTGCTGCCTTTACACAAAGTCAAGTCACTTAGCGTTTATCACCCACAGGTAACACAGTCATTTTTCACCACACTTCTTTCTACAGTACGAGTATAATCACCATCATAGTATTTTAGTTATTTATATTAGTATTTCTTTCCTCCTCAGCTGGCATACTGTGTGGTACAGTTCTTGGAGAAGGATAGCACCCTCACAGAACCGGTAGGATTTAATATAGTTATGTTGTTAACTTTGCAAACTGAATTATCTCTCAGTATCCTCTCTGGTCAAAACAAGCATCTTCACAGTGACTTCCTCTTCTGGACCACCTTTCCTTTCATTAGTTAGATTTAAATATAACTATTAAAGTCTGGTAGTCATCATATCTATTTTTAAAACTAAAGGACGTCTGTTTATAATGTTTAAGGGGTAAAACATTGACCAATATCAGTTTGGAGTCTGAGAGCATGTGCTTTCTCTCTAAACATTTTTTTGTTTTGTTTTTTCTTCGGTGTGTTATCTGTTAAGAACATATTTGATGGACAAATTGCCTGTCCGAACATCCTCCATTTATGTTGTTTGCTCTGTGTTGTTCTGCGTGTGTGTGTGCGTGTGTGTGAGTCCAGACAGTGATGGCTTTGTTAAAGTACTGGCCAAAGACCCACAGTCCTAAAGAGGTAATGTTCCTTAATGAGTTGGAGGAGATTCTGGACGTCATTGAGCCGTCAGAGTTCGTTAAGGTCATGGAGCCCCTGTTCAGACAGTTGGCCAAGTGTGTTTCTAGCCCACATTTTCAGGTGAGATTTATTCTTCAGCACGCAAGCTTTAAGTTTGTTATATGTAGTGTGATCACTGGTGCACTTTTACCTTAGTGCTGCAAAACAATAAAAGTTTTGAAACTGAATATTCACAGAAGCTGTGGATTATGCATGATTAATCAAGATTATTTGTTATTTAGTTAGTCACAATTGTTTCTCGATTAATTGTGATCTGTTATTGTCACTGTTGTTTCCTCATTCACCTACAGGTGGCAGAGAGGGCTCTGTACTACTGGAACAACGAGTACATCATGAGCCTGATCAGTGACAATGCTGCCAAAATCCTCCCAATCATGTTCCCAGCCCTCTACCGCAATTCCAAAACCCACTGGAATAAGTGAGTCACTGTGTGTGATTATGGCTTGTGATAAGTACACTAAGTAGATCAACCCACTGAGCTGGGGTAATTCTTGTGAATCCTCAGGACCATCCATGGCCTGATCTACAACGCTCTGAAGCTCTTCATGGAAATGAACCAGAAGCTGTTTGACGACTGCACCCAACAATTCAGGGCAGAGAAGAGCAAGTAAGTCGTCAGTCAAATAAAAGAGTACAGATTTTTTAACATATGCGTACATCACTAGACACAATACAGGACTAGCTGTATGCTGTATCTCTTGTTTTTAATTTAACAATGAATGATGAGGAAGGACTCCTTAATGTTTTCTGTCTTTGACAATGTCTTGTTGTATTGTAGAGAAAAGGCCAAGTGGAAAGAGAGAGAAGAAGCCTGGCTAAAGATCGAAAATCTGGCTAAAACAAACCCTCAGGTGAGCAAAGATTTTTCTACCCTAGACATTTGAGTCAGTGTTCTCTCAGCACAAACTGAATTGACGACGTTATCCTTTTTTTCTTTTTAGTTTCTGCCATATGTGGACTCAACGGACTCAGGCAGTCCAATGGACATGGAGACAGACGGGCCGCTGCTGGACGATGTCAACATGCTCAAGAAAACCGTGGTGGAGGAAGCAACGCAGGTGAGCAGTTTTGTGGCAGTGAATATGGTACGAAGGATGTGAACCCTAATCCACTAGGGGGCAGAATACACATATCAGATATCATTTGTCATGTTACTAAATAGGCACTTTGGCCCAGAGGCAATGTCTCTGTCATTGGTGTGGAACCCCAGGGTTCACCTCCTGGGCAAGTTCGAATCCCGGTTAGGGCGGTTGGTACCTTCCAGTGGACTCACCACCCGCAGGAAGGTTTGGTACGGTGCAATGTGATTTGGGAGGCGATTGCTGCCCCCGCGACCCGGTAACGGATAAGCGGATGCAAATGGATGGATGGATGGATGGATGTTACTAAATATGAGTCAAGCATTTTTCTAGGGTTAGGTTCCCTCTGATGTGGTCTCTCTCTGTGCGTTCAGATCCAGAGAGATCAACGAAAAGAGCGTCCACTGATGCGAAGGAAATCAGAGCTCCCCAAGGAAATCTCCACAGTTACAGCCCTGGAATTGCATCGAAGAGCGGAGGAGATGCTGACGACGCACGACGGCCACTAAGAGACTCCCCTGGATCTGCCGTAAACCAGCAGCAGAAGCAGCAGCAAATGTTGTCCACACAGGAACCACAGGTCCACAAAGGCCCTGCACAGCAACACCAGTCCAGTCCAGTCCAGTCCAGTCCAGCACAACACAGAACTGAACAGTTCCACCTCTGTCTGACTAAGTTGTGTGAAGCTGCACATCAACGAAGTTATCGAACAAACGGTTGTTCACCCTCCTCCCCTCACTGATCTCACACCCCTTCCCCCATTTGTGCCTCCCACCTGGTTGTCGTCCAGCAGAGACATGTGTGGTGCTGGACGCCCCCCACCTCCTCACCCCCACCCTTGCATGACCACGATACACACCTTTCACTTCACCCAATGACTGTGTTGTCATTATCTCCTCTTCTCTTTCAATGTCCTCTCCAGCTGTTGTATTTTTGTTCGGAGTACTGTGGTGCCCCCTTCTGGTCATTTCTCAGGTGTTCTGTGTACTGTATGTGTGTGAAAGTGAGTGAGCTGTCTCTCTTTTTGCCTTGTTTTTTATAAACATCCGGTGCTCGTACGAATAATTTTCATCACTTTTCCCCACATTGAAAGCAACAATTATTTCGGACAGTGCACGTGAAGTACTTTTCTCAGAGTAAAACACATCTATATACTATTTGGCATTTTCTGATCATTTGGTTCGTCAGGACAATGCATTTTATTAGCATTGCTTCTTGAAATCAGACTAAGTTGGCCTGTTAGCTCCTGACTACTTTAATAATGTTCCTTTAATTGAAAGAGAGAATTATATTTCAAATGTTCCTTTGTTCTGGACTGAGTTTATTTTACGTTCGCCGTTGTTTGCTTTTCTCTGGAACTAGCATTCTGTACAAGTCTTGAATATAAGCGTAGGGTTCAGAGGATTTGTTTCCGTCGGTGTCTGTGTGCTGGTGATGTCATAACTGAGCAGATGAGACAGTGCTAACGGTGATCGTTTTTCTACTCCTCTCAAGCAAAACCCTTGTATTTGTAGGACACTTGTTAGACACGGAGACCGAGTCATTGTCGAGTGTTTGGTTTGAAGCGGTCAAACGTCAGCCTTTCTTTTCACAGTGCCTTCTTCTAGTCTAAGGGGATATTTGCTCACCTGAGAATGGAGTGATGGGAAAAAATATAAAAGCCAGGGCATGCACACGAGGAGAAGCGCGTTAAGAAAGATCAAGTTTGTACACAGCACACCTCTGGCTCCCTGGACTCCAGCACACGACTTGTTGAAGCTACAATGTCCAGATCTAATCAGTTGCAGAGGATAAGCAGAGTGGACCCTCCCCCGTGCCCCCGTCCCCCAATACCACTCCAGCGTTTAAGCACTTCCTGATAAAACTTGAAAGAAAATAGAACCACAACTGAAAATAAACAGTTTGAACTGACTTTTGTGATGCTGTCTGTCTCGGTGTGTGGGGTCACCTCCTGTCGTAACGTTCCCATTTTGTGCCCCTGCTGTTCTCATTCCACCTTTGGATTTTCCCAAGTGTTTGTCCTCCATCCTTGTCACCTGACTCTCCCATTTAAAAGTCAACTACACGCCAGTAGTACCGTTTATTTCCACACCTGTTCAATCTGCTCCTGGAGGCTTGCAAGGTCTTTCTGTTGTGTTCTCAGACCCTCCTTTGTTCCCATCAGTGTTTCAGCTGAATGTGCAAAGTTGTAAATAATGCTTCAGTTACACTGTTCTCTTTGTGTTAAAGAAAAACATTCACCAAAGGCTCTGATTTAAAAAAAAACAAAAAACAAACCTCATCCTTCCTTGACTGCAGGTGTTAAAGTGGGTTCAATGAAAGTAAAGTGAATGTCACTTCTTCCTTTTTAAAATTCTACATGCTCTCTGATTTTTCATTGTCTCGACCGTCTGGCAGTGAGGAAGCAGCACAGTGTTACAGTGAATTTATACCTGTGCATCAAATCAACAGAGACATCGGCTCACTAGACGTTGATTAAAGTACTTAAATATAATGACATGGAACCTCAGAGCAATTATGTTCAAGTGACGTCACACAGATCAGCAGCAGAGGGACTGGACTGCAGGGTGGGGGGGGGTGAATGTTTTGGTTCATCGACTAAGTAATTCGTATGTCAAAAATGTAATCCACATTAATGTGAATCCAACTAAATGTTCCCAACCCCCGTCCATGGACCTGTACGGGTGTGTGGGTCAATAAATACTGGACCATAGAGAAAGAATGATTCATTTAGAGAGAATCCTGTTATTATTATTGACTTTCTTTGTCTAAAGTTAATCTAAATAAAAGATCTTTCAGACTCGGATACAAAGAGAACAAAGGTTGGGGACCGCTGGCATACAACAACATAAAGAATAAGTCCTGGCTCCAGCGCTCCAATAAACTGCCTTTCATTTAGCAGTTGCCAATCATTAGAGGGAGCTATACTACTAAAATACACCTTAATTGTTGACAAATTCTGATTCCTCTGTGACTTTCACTGTTTTTGGTCAAGAGTTAAAAACTACTGCTGATCCAACTTCTCCCTCATCTCTTCCTCCCACCAATGTCCCACCCAGCTGCCTAATGCTTGCTGTTGATTGGATGCACTGGTATAAATGTCCCGTTGGTGACTGTTGCTCTTAGAATGGTTTTAATATCGTCTTGGTTTTTATACAAGCTTTGTTTTCTTTCCTCCCCAGAAAAGAATGATTACTGCAAGTGTCCTTTAGTACACATGGCATACTTAACGGCTTCGTTTATTACTGTACATACGCTGTACTTTTACGTTATAACTATTAAATGCTAGAGTTCATATTTTGTACAAAATACTGTGTACAGAAAGCAAAAGGTCGTTAGCAGCTGCAGACATTTTTGGTTTGTGGCAGAGACGTCAACATGTGGCTATTTTTCATTTAGGAACCATATAGACTATGGATACGTTTTAAACTACTGTAATCCCAGCGTCCATTTTTTTGTTCCAGCTTCAAAGTGTGAGAGATCCTACATACATGAGCTTTTTGTGTGTGCTTTTGTCCAAATCTCCAGTGGTGTACATCTATCTATATATACAGCAAATAAAGAGAACATGTGAGTTTTATATTTTCATCCTAAAAAAACAACTGTGTGCTTTGGTGTTCAATTTCAACCCCCCACCCCCCAAAACTTATTGATCCTTCATCGTCCCATGTCCTGATCCCCTCTCTCCAAACGCCCATTTATCAGGGAAAAACCCGATAATTCTGAAAGGTTAAGTGCATTTTTCTCCCTTGTCTTTGTCTGGTTAGATGGATGCTGGAGGGAAGAGGTTGGAATGGGAGCAAATCACTGGTACTGAGCATGGAGTGATGATTGCATGATGGGAAATTAGTATCTTTTGTGTCACATTGATGAAAAACTTTTATATTGTAAGCATGATTTTTTGATTTTTTTATAACGTAACATTTTATAACAATTATTAATATACATTATTTATAATTGCAGCTTCAGCATACCATATATAGGTTGACTGATGAATGAGGATGTGAGGAAAATATTTCAAATGTTCCCATGTTCTTTTCATCTTTCCAAGAAATACATACGGTGCTTGAACTTAAAAAAAAAGTAAAGAAAAGTGGAGCCTAGCCCGCTGGTGGGCTGTATGTGGTCCCTCGTCCACTTATTTAACATCAGTGCTTTAGATGTTGCTAGGTGCTGCAATCATCTATTCACAGTTTGCCCTGGTGCTCCAAATTGCCTTGTCTGAGGTCACTCAAGTTCCTCTATTCATTTGAAGACAACAGTGAGGTTTGGCACCCTTCCTCCCCCTCCGTCTCCCCCGCCCCTCTCCACTGTCTAGCACCCCTGCTGGGATCCGTGTTGAACCCAGATGAACCTACGGGGATGTAGAAAACAAATAGACTCACATTGTTTGCACCCTTACAACACGACTGCCCCGCTGCTGCTGTGACACTGGTGATGAAACAGGCGAAAAGTGAAAAATATATATATGTTTTAAATTCTATCCTCGATCATACAAGTGCTGTTTCCTGGTTTGTATTTGTCTGCATTTATTGTGAAATGAGCAGCTCTAACTTATCATAATAAAAGTCCAGGTCTCTGGGTGATCGTCCTAATGAGGATGCAAATTGTCTCCCACAGAAACTCCCATTTCGCTTCATCATCGGCACATCGTGCCCCGCTTGTTAATGGGAAATATTCTTCATGGCTGGAGGAGTCATTAAAAATCAAAATACTACGTCAGTGGTTTGTTGTTGGTGCTGAAAACACTCTCAGATGTGAAGTCACTTAGATTCACGTTCGTCCTCAGTGACACTGCTCTGTGTCGCTGCTGACTTGAATTATGCTTTGTGAAATGTTTGGTTTTTTTTTAAACCCAAATGATGACAGTCTGTCAAAAATGTGCTGTGTAACTCTCTCCTCCACCCACCCACCTGCCCCCACCCTTCCAGTCCATGCAAAACAAAACCACTGTCTTGTCACGACAGGAGATGTCAGAATCCATCGCCATGGAAACAGTGCTGAAAAGTTTGGAGTGCAGACCCCTTTTGTGACTACATCCTTTCAGATGTTAGGAACAGCTTTCAGAGGCTGCATTACTTTAGTGCACTGCACTGCACTGCATTTGTGTGTCTGCTCCTGTCAGTGAGTGCCTGGGAGAGTTTGATATTAGGCAGAAATGGAGCCAAATGGGAGGAAGGTGACTCACCACACCACCTGGGGGGTCTGAGATCCAGCTGAGCTCTATGGTCATGCATCCTCCCCCACCTCACCCCTGCGAGGGCTGCATCTTTAGCACCACAGGCCTTCTTGAGCAACATCTTCGTGCAACACAGTTTTCTTTTTTGGGGCTTGGGATCAGCAGCAAATCAGCTTGTCGCTCTACATGCTGTAGAGTTAGAAACACACGACAGATACCAATAGAACTAAATATATATACATAAATGTATTATTATTGGGTGTTTGGACATTATATTTAGAGATGCTCGGCTACATAGTGAGTCACATGTTCTTTACAGCTCCATGGCTGCAGTGTTTTTATCTCCACTATTTTTGCTGTTTAAAAAAATGTTCTCCAGCATACCACTAGAGAAGCCCAAGATCCAGCAGGGGCAGAGTTTGACTACAGATTAAAACAACATAGAGATATATTTCCATATTAGTGAACATCCATATAATAATAATCATAATCATAATAATGTCACTTTGTGCAGGGAATCTGGATATAAAACTAAAAAAAAAAGTCAGACCAGGTATAATAGAGCCATAAGCTCATTCACTGCCTCTGTCTGCAACAGACACACACTCAACTAATAACTTTTATTTCATTGTCAGGGCCACCTGAGGACAAACAAACTGCATATGAAACCAGACAGACACTTTATCTGTTCGAAATATGGGAGTAAAATAATAAAAAAAATGTATAAGCAGTTTTGTTATATGACTATCTATCTATCTATCTATCTATCTATCTATCTATCTATCTATCTATCTATCTATCTATCTATCTATCTATCTATCTATATTTATATATACTATATATATATGTGTGTGTGATATGACTTTGCACTTTGTGACTCTTCACTTTTTGGTATATTTCTGATGATTCATTTTCTGTCTTGTTCCCTTCTCTGAACCCAGCATCCCTGCTGTTATGACTATTTGGACCATTTAATTTAATCCTCTGTCTGTGTCTCTCCATCTGCCCACCGGTGCTCCGCAAGATCCTCCAAATGAACGTTGGATTTTAAAGGCAGAGCAACAGAAGGTGACAGATCAGGCTGACTTGTTGTTTGTTTGTTCAGGTACAGTGATATGTTTTGGCTTCAGTAAAATCTATCACACATCAATAAAGCCTGTGTTACTTGGTAACAAGAACTGAGCCCCTCAGCATCCTCTCACAGACAACAGGTGTGTCATCAGAACTAATGAGAAATGTCCCGGCTGAACGACCCCAGCTTCTACTCTAACGGCCACAGTTATTATATTTATTAACTGAACTAGTAGTCAAATCCCAAACCTGTTTATATGTCGTTGTATAATCTGATGAAAGGTGAAGTAGATGGTAGTTAGTGTGACGTAAATCTGTGTCCAGAGAAAAAGTCAACCACAAACAGATGCATGTTATGGAAAGCAGCTGAGTGATATTCCCACTCATGAACGCAGCCACACGTCAGATTGGCAGAGACGTGCGTCATGCAGAGACTCCACTGTCATGCAGCTCAGACATCCTGAAGGGGAGGTGGAAGAGACACAGGAGAGTCATTTTAATCTTGGTTAGCACCTCGTGGTATTTATTCCCTTGACCCAAGTCGTCTCTTCTTCAGTTAAACCTTTCTGCTCATATATCAGGTCAGCTGACAGACCAGTGTGGACCTTTGTTTTGGAGAGTAGCACCCTGTGACATCTGCAACAGCCAGATCCTCTGATAAATTAATCCCATAGCAACTACATTGGCATGGCAACCAGGGTACAGACGCCATGCTGAGGTGATACAATGAGGGCTTGCCTGCCAGATTGGCATTTTTTCCAAAGAAAAAAAAAGGGAAAAATTTAATGAATCATTCATCTTGTTTCCATCCCTCAATTATTGGGCTCTTATCATTTCCTGTCCATCCTTGTTCCTCCAACTACTTCAGTTTTTCTGCCCGGCAGTTGACACTCACTGTGATCGAGGTTCTGAAGTTTTTTAACTTAAAGGGTGTATATAAAAAAATATAAAAATATAAAAATAGTATGGTAAGAGGACGAACCTTTCAGTAATAATAATTATTCTTTTTGTTGTTTAAAGAAGAAGAAGTAATAATAATAATAATAATGATAATAATAATCATTATTGTATAATAATAATAATAACCATTATTATTATTATTTTGAAGTGATTTCTATTGTTGTTGTAGTTGTTATTTGGGAGCCTAGCAGTCCGCAAAGAACATCCATGTATTCAAGGCTCATAACTGTTCCTCCAATTTGACCAAATAAACCGATTTTATTTTTAAATTTTATTTTCTGTAGAATTTCGCCCTCTACTGCAATCTACAAGCGTTTGGCAATCGTCACGACTGATATAAAGGGCAGCATTCAAGCTGTGCGGTAGCGAACTTAGCTTTAGCTTTAGTTACACGGATATTAAACAGTAGAAAATGATTAAAGGTTGAGATATAAACTTTATTTGAATTAGTATTATCGTTATTTATCATTATTTCGTTTTTTATTCGGTCTTCTACTACAGAATAGAAATATCTATTTTATTTATGTTCCACAAGGGCAGGGTAGCGGAGTGACACATTGTATGATTAAATCTTGTTAGGTAATGCAGTCGTTTGTTCGGTTTAGCCCTGCCAACAACAAGTTCCGGCCAAAATATCAGGCCCTCTTCTAACGAAAGGGTGCAACTGCAATTAATGTGCCATTGCACATCAACGATTGGTTGTTGATGAGTGCGACTGCTCTTTTCAGACAAGGCGTAAAGTGAAGACCAACAGATATAGGCGGACGTGGTAGGAGAATGCTAAACAGTCTTCAATCACTATACACAGTTAAGTTCTCACTCACGTCCGCGGCCGTTATCAGTCTCCAGCCATGTCCGCAACATCAAACAACCAATCATCGATGTGCAATCGCACATCATCTGCTGTTTGAAAAAGGCAATTGTACTCATCATTAACCAATCGTTGACGTGCAATCGCACATCAATTGCAATTACTCCCTTTCGTCAGCGGAGGCCCTGATTTTTGGCCGGAACTTGTTGTTGGCTGAGCTAAACCGAACAGCCGACCTCATTACTTAATACACTCCGCTACCCTACTCTTGTGGAACATAAACAGAATAGATATCTCTGTTCTATAGTAGAAAACCGAACAAAACATTACAATAATGATAAATAACGATAATGCTGATTCAAATAGAGTTTATATCTCAACCCATAATAATTTCGCTACTGATTAATATCCGTGTAATTAAAGCTAAAGCTAAGTTCGCTACCGTATAGCGTGAATGCTACGTTTATATCTGTCATGACGATTGTCAAACTTGTAGACGACCAGTAGACGGCGAGATTATGCAGGCAGGAATGTTTTCAAAATAAAAACAGCTTATTTGGTCAGCATTAAAATGCCCAAGAGACAACATTTAAGTCGAGTCCTCACTTTAAAGACTCACTCCCTTACCACTGGATAAAGGACCACTACATTAAGTCATTAATTAATTATCAAAATAATAAAATAAGCAAAATGTTACACTTTTGATTATTTTTGATACTTCTTTACTCTCACTTTTTTCTGGATCCCCAAAAATAAATGTTCTCATAAACAATATCAATCATCAAAAAGATTAAACAAACTATGCATATGTATATTATTCACCAAAATGCTAAAAGTACCATATCTATGTCAGAAAATGACATATAATATGCACCCAGGTGTAATATTTGCACATGATCTTGTTTTGTCAAATATTGACTAAAACCCTTTTGTGAAAGAAATGTAAAATGTATGGAGGGACAGAAGAAAGTCTGGGGGTGTTTGATTGTTGCAAAAATCATAATAACACTTATTCTGATGACATATTGAAATTAAAATTATTCAAAACAATTATTGATTGGTTTGACAATTGTGTTGTACAGAAACTAGTACAGGTTGGTCATCCCTGATGAGGGTAAAAAGCAAAAGCAAAAAGATTTGTCTTTGAATTTAACATGGAGGATGATGCTGTTTTTGTCAGATATCAACATCAACTCTCACTTCACCCCTTTCTTTTTACCGATGGCCCCTGTCCATGGTGCTGATCTTTTTGACACAAAGATTACTGTATGTTTACAGTATATATATGTACATTGGTAGAAAAAGCCTTGGAATTTCCCTTTAAGTGACCTAATAATCACAAGTGAGAGGACATGTGAGAAACTCTCACGATTCTGCCCAGAAGTGAAGCTGCCCTATGGCTGTATTAAATAAACAGCATATAATCTTATTGGATATTTTACAATATACACATTATAAAAGAGGCTTTATCTAATTTCTGTCTGTTTCAGAATCCATGCATGTTTTCTCTGCCCCTAGTATTACTTTTTTCTTTTTTGTTTTGCACTTTCAAAATAAGAAAAAAAAAATCATCAGGGACTCACTCTACTGGGTGGCACTGACGGTCTTCCCACATGAATATCTGGTCCCATGGCTGCAGAGCTTGTTTTTCTGCATCATGTGACTTCAAAAGCTAGCAGCTCAAATAAAGGTCATGGGATGGGTTGATGGCAAGATTTCACTTCAAACGGCAGCGGCTACTCTCACTTACTTACATGGAAGATAACTGTCAACATTGGCATTTTCACCACGAGCAACTGCTTCTTTAAAATATCCATCCATCCATCCATCCATCCATCCTATCAATAATTATCCATACTTCCTTTTCCCATGCAGGCACCTGTGTTACTCACTTACTTGTTGTTTTTGTTATTCCTAACCACCATCCCACTGTGTGGCTCATGAATGACCATAGATCTATGATCCTTAGGTTTAATATTTTCATTTGATTTGATTTAAAATTTATGGTGTTAAATCACAAGATTAGTATACTTACAAGTGGCAAGTTTGAGAAAATTTATTCTAATATTTTCATCTGGAGACTCAAGCCTCATTTTCAGTGAGGCTGGAGTCTCTCCCCTCTGTTGTGATGTTGCGATGTCGTGACTGCGAACAACCCTTCTTGAAATTCACCAGCATGTTAAGGACTGTTTGGTTGTTATCTAACGGTTGATAACTCTAACCAAATTTCATATTTTCTAATTCCTGTCTCAGTGAACTGTCTGAAAGATGAGAAAAACACCCTGTTTCTTCAGATCAATATTTAGTTTAGACTGTTGTTTAGATTTCCGGCACTTCTGTCTTCACTCTGTCAGCTTAGCCTGTGGCTCAATCAATAAATCATATTAGCATTTGAGTTACTGTAGTCAGAATAATTGCATATTGAGAAAGTGAGTTGATTAGTCTGGAAAAATGCTTCAACAAATCTTAACTGAAACCTCTGCTCATGATTATGTCCTGATAGACGACCCTTATGACCTTTGGCTGAGGTACTTCACAGAGATCGTTAGTCATTGATCAGATGACCCTTGTTTATCACTGTTTGTGTAATTGGTTTAAAAGATAGCAGACGATATTGACTGCTGCCACCTGGACGCCACGCAGCATTTAAACGTAGCAACTCGGAAGAGACAGGAACACGTACAGTACCATGAACACAGCAGACAGCTGCCCCCGGTGGCATGTACAGTAATTGCATTGTTCAATAATCCTAACAGCCGTGAGTGTGAGTAGGAATTCCTGCTTGTGTTAAGTATATGCACAAATACGATGTAGATATGTGCGAGACAGGAGATGAGGTGAAGAAAAAAAAAGAGATTATAAACACATCTAACACCTAACCAGCTCTTCTTCTCTTCCTCTGTATGGCTCTTATAGAAAACCTGGAATGTTTGAATTTTTATATATATATGGGAAATTCACACTTCATCCTTTTAGGCACGTGTGTCTTTTGAAAGTGGGTTAACTCAGTCTACCTTAATCACAGAGAGCTAACTGTGGGTCATTTTGACCTGAATAGACTCGAAGAGAGATTGAAAAACAGGCCACTCTTCACTCTTCACATTAGCATTTTAAGACAAATCTTTAAAACATGACATGTGCGTTCATTTCCTGTAAATAAATCATATTGATTTTTTTTCTTCCACAACAAAAGCAGACATGACCAACGGAGCAGCTGTTTGTTCCACAGTCACAAGTTTAGACCAGTCTGTGATCTGTCATTTATTGAAACCATTTGTTCACGTACATTAGTTCAACAGTTCCACGTCGGCCACACGTACGCATCACTGAGTCCATGTTAGTACCAACCCACCCTTGGTGTCAGCGGCATCAGTGTCGGTTTTCTGGCCGTGCCTTTTAAAAACCGAACTTCATAGTGACATCTGAGATGGGCACAATATTAACACACACAATCTCTCTCTCTCTCTTTCTCTGTCACACACACACACACACACACACACAGGTTGTAGAAAAATATAGTTATCACAAATTAAATCCAGTATCAACCAATTCAAGGATTTTTAATACAAAAACACCTTGCTGTAATATGAGCATTTCATCAGGTACACTGTGTAGGATGAAGAAGCAGCTGCTCGTTACATGATGCTGTTGTTTTTCGGCTGTTCCTGTTCAATAATGATGGAACAGAAGGGGGATTTTACTTCTTCTTTTTCAGGGTAGTGTCTGACCTGGACCCTTCACCAGTCCATCACTAATACAGAGAGGGAGAGAACATGACAACAAAGGGAAAGACCACAAGTTACCAGTCTGTAAAGCCAGTGCTCTAACTGCTCTACAAGTGTGCGACCCCTTCTAATTCTCAGTTAATGTGACAGTCTCCACAGAGAAGACCTGCTGAGGTGCAGATACACATGGCTCCATTCAAGGGTGAGTAAATAAATAATCATTATCAGTAACTTACTGAATATTTCGTGACACATAACATAGTTGAACCCTTATCTTACGCAGTGTACCTTTAAGCATAAAATACTGGCCCACAGTTTTGATGTAGGCATTACCTTTACTTTGAACCATTATATATATATATATATATATATATACATTTTTAGTTATTAAAATACACCATATGTGATGTGTAGACATTTGACATAGCAGCATCTTAGTATTTTGGACACTTGAAGCAGAACATGTTGGCAGCAGCAGTTGAGAATCTGAACACTACACATGGAGCACCCCTGTCTGGGAATTCATCAGATCGTTCCTGTATTGCTCCAGCCAGGTTCTAAGTCCAGAAATCCGGTATCCCTCTGGACCCCTGCCCCCCTGGTACACCACTCTCTCGTCCCTAACAATGTACAGTCTCTCAAAGTAGGCTCCGTACGCGGCGTTGGACGAGTTGTCCATGTTGTCCACCACCACGTTGCCCCCGGGCACCTCGCTGAGCATCAGCTGTGCGGCTCTCAGTCTGTCCTCCAAGCACCGGTGCTTGGGGATCTGATACGGTGCGTCCGAGCTCACCCAGCCGTCTGACGGGTGCGCCTCCTCGATGTAGACAACTAAAAAGTCCGCAATGTCCGCGTACTGGCGCACGACGCGCTGGAAGGCGGCCAGGCGCGTCATGAATGGCGGTCAGGAGCAGCTGCCAAAGTTCAGAATGAGCGGTCTCTTCCCTTTCATGCAGTCCAGGATCCTGACCCGCCTCCGCTCCTGGACCAGCACCACCTCGGTGTTGGGCGCAGTGCAGCCGAGGTGCGCAGATTTGAAAAAGTCTAATTTCTGTCCGTACCACACGGCCTTGAGGGACTCCAGGGTGAACATCTTATTCGAGTCGGACACGCACACCGGTGGGTCGTCCGGGCTGTCCTGTCTCTCCCCCATTTCCAGCAGCACTTTTTTTCTTATGCACAAGAAATCCAGGAGCCACAGCATGACAGCGGTCAGGAGGAACCTGGGCAGCAGCATCAGGCACAGGGCTGCGTGTTTCAGAGTCCGAGCCATTTGGACTCCGCCGGAGTCGTGCATCATCTCTCCTCCTGTCGACAGGATGCGACTGGGCCGGCAGAAGAGACAACTGTTTAGTTACCTTTACCCATTGGAGAAAACTATCTGACGCACGAAGGGACTCCTTTTATAGATGCAGCAGCGTCTGGATAATGAGGGAAAAAAATAAGGAAAAAAAAAGAAAACCTCAACACGCCTCCGGTACCTGCGCCGCCCACTCACATGGTGGGGGGATTACCTCCCATCAACTTCAGGGTTCCAGAGAGAGACAGAGACGCGCTCCGGAGAGGCTGCATATCTGTTTCCAGTCCATAAAACACGACAGCGGATGGATGGTGTTTCACATGGCAGTCAGACACTCGAGCTCGTTTTAATTGTCTTTAGCCAAACGCACACTGTGGTCCTGCGAGTCAGGAATAAGGAAGAAATAAGTATTTGACTCTACTTTATTCTGCCTGTTAATTCAGACCTCCCTGGTGTGGCAGGAGGCTTTGTGGCCACTAGACGGCGATCGTTTCATACAGACCGCAGGGGCTGGATGAGTCATGCAGCGGTATCTGCATGAAGTGATCAAGTAGAAGTCACTGTACTAACAGCAAAAGTCGTGGTTAGCACTTTAAAAAATAAAACAAATACTTTTACTAGTCATTTGACAAATGACAGAAGAGTTAGCTCAGCCAAGACAACATCACTAAAAGGTCATTTTAATATTGACTGAGGTAAAAACAGTGGGTTTTCGAAATGGCAACTGTTGTTTTAAATTGGTTTCAAATGTTGAGCCTGAGTTTATTTTTTTATGACTCCAAATAAATATTTTTCTTGTCAAAAAACTTACATTTAAGGTGCCCAGGTCAGTATTATATATATATATATTAAAATAAAGCAACACAGACGTTTTGTGTGTTTTTTTTTAACAGGTCCCTTAAGCAATTTTAGTGCTAATAAGTGTCTGACTCTTTAGTTCAACACAAATATTTGCATTCACTCCCCGTCTGTTTGGGAATGGACAACAACACCTGCTTGGGTTTCTTGAAGAAGCTCCTGCCTTAACTCTTTCATCTCAGCCCAGGTATGAACACCTGGCTGGAGAGTTTTAAAGTTAAACAATGCAGGTCATCCGGTCTTTGACCCTGTGCTAGAATGTGTGTCACCTGAGTGCAGGCGTTGAAGAAGGTCAGTGGACACAGAGGTGACTCTGTGCGTCTTGGACTGTCTGTGTTATGTTTTGTGTTCAAGCTGCTGCTGCTGGTGCTGCTGCTGCTGGTGCTGGTCAAAATCAATGGTGTGTGAAGGGTTCAGGTATATTCAGGAGTGAGTGGCTGCTGTTGTTTTCCCTGAAGTTAAATCAAACAAATTGGTTCACACTCCCTCTTTCCCCCCACACAACATGTATTTTGTCTTCAATGCTAATTTGTTTTAGCTAACCCTACTGTGACCCCAGTTGGTCTTAAATGTTCCATTCATCTCCAACAGCAGCATTATGTAAGTGCACAATGGCCCACCTGGACCCCACCCCTCGTTGACCTGGGATCTTTTCAATGCAAATGTGTGAATGTGAGAAACCCATTACCAAGACTGCACCAAGATAACGTTTCATACAAAGCATGGTCTGACAAGCTGCTCTGTTTTG